TTGAATGCCGAAAATCCGGCCCTTTTGAGTTTGATGTCCACGTATCTCATGGGGGTAATCAATTTTGTTGTGGTCCCAGAGCTTCGATCGAGTTGGTGGAAAATATATATTAAAAATTAATTTGCCAGCACGTTTTAAAACCTAAATAGACGTATTGGCCCGAATTCACAAAGCAAGGTTTGAGCTCAGACCAAGGTTTGAGCTCAAACCTCCTTTTGTTTCGCCAAACCTCCTTTTGTTCTTTACAAACCAGGTTTGTAAAAAAAACGCGTAAAACGCGTCATAATTATGACGTGCGAAAACCAAGGTTTGTCGACAAACCTCCTTTGTGAATTCGGGCCATTATGATTCCTATTTAATAACTCATCTTGATACAAATTAATGTCGTTTTCCCTCGTACTCCACAATCTCAAAACTTCGTTAATTAGCAAAAGAAGATATTATAATTATGCATGTATAGGTAGCCAGTAGCGTACGCAGGATTTTTTCAAGGGGGGGTTTTAACATTTTGAAATCGGGCCGAAAATTTCGCAACGACTCAGCCAGCCGCTGAATAAGCGGGGGTGGGGGGGGGGGGGGGGGGTAAGAGGACACTTTTCTTTTTTGGGGGGGTCTCGAAATTTGAAAAATTGACATTTTTCTTTGTATGGGGGGGGGGGTAAGGTCAACTTTTTTTTGCTCAGCCATTGGCATAATTTTTTTGTTAATTAATAAAAAAAAAAAAGAGAAAAAAAAAAGGGGGGGGGGTGTTTTCCTCCAAAATACACACATACAAAATACCAAGGGGGGGTTCAACTCCCAACCCCCCCCCCCCCCCCTGCATTGTAGGTAGCCTATACACCCGCATTAATTGTAATAGTCGTGCTGTACAGACCCTCTGCGGAAGTGGAAAGATAATCGAGAGGATAAGCTCCCGATGTAGGATCTATATTTAATCATCAACCTCAAACATACAATTCACTTATTAGTCAAAACTATCACATGTGGACTGCTCTGTAATAATAATAATAATAATAATAATAATAGTGGGTTCTTGTATAGCGCTCATGTCTGTCATACGTGACACTCCTGGCGCTCCCGAATGGTGGTGAAAATTATCACTTCCTAAGTGGTGTTCATGCCGGCCCTTCTATCGCCTCGGGGTGATACTAGAGCCGGTATCGCCTTGGGGTGATAGAAAAGCCGGTATAAACACCACCTTGGGAGTGATAATTTCCACCATTATCCCCACGAGCAGTCAATATTTGTATAATTTTTGAGAACCTGCCCCCGACACACACACATGCGCGCACACATCAACATACACCCGAAATCAATTTCCTGTCTTTTACAATGTTTCTCTATCTTTTGACCAAGGGCTGTTTTGACCTCACAAAGAGGTGCAGACGGGATGGATCAACCAGGCGTCTCACCTCCCTGGATCAACAGACAATTATGCGTGATAGGAAAAGCGAGATGGGGAGACAGACAGAGACAGACACAGGCAAAGAAAAGCCCACAGAGAGGCAATGTAATCAAGGGTGTCGATTTGTATCCGTGGATGGGGGGATGATAGGTGCCAAAATATTTTCGGCAATGGATCAAAGCAACCAAGAGGTAGAAGCGTGTGGCAAGTTGCACCCCCTCCCCAAGCGCGTAGCCAGTAGATTATTAAAGAAAGAAGGCGATTCGATGAACCATTCTCGACTCTTAATCCTTGTATGAATCAAGTTCCCCTTCCTCCGTGCGTAGCGCGGAAGCTCTAACGTTTCATTAAATTATAAAATAAAGAAGGCGATTTCATGTACTATTCTCGACTCTTAATCCTTAATGTTTGAATCAAGTTCCCTTTCCTCCGCGCGTAGCGCGAAAGCATTGACGTTTCAGTAGATTAGTAAAGAAAGAAGACGATTCGAAGTACCATTCTCAACTCTTAATCCTTGTTTGGATCAAGTTCCCTTTCCTCCGCGCGTAGCGCGGAAGCTCTGACGCTTCATTAGATTATTAAAGAAATAATGCGATTTCATGTACTATTCTCGACTCTTAATTAATGTTTGGATCAAGTTCCCTTTCTTCCGTGCGTAGCGCGGAAGCTCTGACTTTTCATTAGATTATTACAGAAAGAAGACCATTCGATGTCCATTCTCGACTCTTAATCCTTTTCTGAATTCAGTCCCCCCCCCCCCCCCCCCTCTCGCGCGAAGCGCGGAAGCTTTAGATGTTTCATTTAATTATTAGAGAAAGAACACGATTCGTTGTATCGTTTTCTTGTCTGAATTCAGTTTTTTCCCTCCCGCGCGAAGCGCGGATGTTTGACGTTTCATTACATTATTATAAAAGAAGACGATTCGTTGTATCGTGTACTTTGATGTTTCATTTATCCCCCTCCAACGCAAAGCGCGGAAGCTTTGCCGTTTCACTGAAATATTAGAGAAAGAGGACGATTCGTTGTACTGTTCTCTTTATGAATCCTTGTCTGAATTAAGTTTCCCCACATGATGTTCGTATGGAACGTTAGTTCGCAAATCTTTGCATGCACAGCCCGAGTGATGGGTAGCATGTTATCTCCCGGCAGTGCTTGTCGCAATAGCTTCTTAAAAGGAATTGTATACTACTGTTAGTGTTAACGGCCACTAATTAGGCCCATTAGTGACTATATAAAATATATGCTTTTCCTGGCTATTTGGGAATGTGTCAGTTTGCAACAGAAATGGAGAAATGCGAATATTTTGAAAATCATGTGATATCACGAACATTTATAAATCTCTTGTATGAAATTGAAAATAAGTCACGGTTGGATTTTATTGAGGGGGGAGGGGGCTAGCGCCCCCAAGGCCTCCTACCAGTTCGCCAGTGTCATAGGCCTACATTAGCTTTTTAATAAAACAAAAATAAGTTGTGACATAATAATCTTATTTCAAAAATGAAAAATGTTTTAGGAGATATCAGGAAATAAAATGAGTGAAAAAAAATAAACGTGAATTTTAAAAAGGGTGAACGGAAACAACATAACAACTAGTGAGCTATCTTATAAGTCATACTAATGTCCGAAAATCTTTCTACTTGTCTCCGATCTCATCACAAATTCGTCACAGAGTTCATCTATGTTTACACTGTCCAGGATTGTCTGATGTGCATTGCAGATTACTACTTTTGCGCTTCGCGCTTAACATTTAACTCGTTGCTTTTTAACGCCGCGTCTTTGCATTTGGCGCATTGCATTTCTATGAATGATGCTGTTGATTGAAAAAATTAATTTATTCTTGTCTCATATACGGTTGTCTCATTTACTCTGTATATAATGTATGTATGTATTATGAAAATGAGATAGCAAAATGCGTATATTGATAGTCATCTTGCGATTAATAATCATTAACTACTCTCATCATTAATTTTTCTCTTAATTTTTGTTTGTTTTGAGGGTGAATTATTGGGGGGATGATTGTACAGGCCATCCCCCCACCTAAATTATTGGGGGGGATATCCCCCCCATCCCCCCCGGGATCGACACCCATGAATGTAATATATACGGGTAGCCAAACATAATGTATGGAGATAGAAAAAAAACATCAAGGCTGAAAGAGAGAAGATGAATAGAAGAGGACCGTTGGAAAGAGGAAGACGATCGGCTGATCCTTGGTCCGTTTCCTTGGTTACGAACGGTGTCACTGTCTCCAGGCGAGGACTACAGAGGTATTATTAAAGAGCTCTTGTGAACCCTATTAGGGAAGTGTTATTACTTAGATAATAAAATCACTTTTCCTTGGTCACGCTTTGCTTGAAATAGATCATGATTGTGTTATGTCCATCATGCAGACAGAATGAATTGAATGTGTATTTTCTTTATATTGTTTTATGTTTTTATAATACAAGCTTGAATAGAAACACATAATTAATTCTATTCCGCCCTATCTCTATTTCCTTCTTTTCTAAGCACATAGGGACTTTCTTTGTGTTAGTGTTATGCGCTGTACAAATGACGTTCATTATTATTATTAAATATTTGAATTTCTGTATTACTTGACTGAGCAGTGTGTTTTGTATACTGTTTAATAATTGTAATAGAGTCCTAGGTTTCCATGACAATATCTATTTAGAGAGAGAGAGAGAGAGAGAGAGGAACGAGGAGAGGGAAGGATAGGAGAAATACAGAGATGGGAGAAAGCACAGGACACAAGAGACTAATCAACGGTGAATTACAACACAAAAGTAAATCGAGTCAGGGGCAACAAAAAGAGAATAAAAAGGTGAAACAAACAAAAGAAGTACAATAGTTGGAATAAACTTAGAATAGAAATGAGACACTCAAAGCAATTATGTCAGTGATATATAAATTGGTTAAAATTGGATCATTGGGGGTAAGAGCACATATTTTTTTCCCCTATTTGTAAGAAAATATTTAGCAGCGATTCTTCAAGCCGGTGAATAAGGGGGGGGGGGGAGGTGATGGAGAGGAGAACCACTTTTTTCTTTCTTTGAGGGGGTGAAAATATAATTTTCTTCTTTTTTTACTTTTACTTTTTACTTTTTACTTCTTCTTTTTGGTTTTTTGGGGGGTCAGGGGGTCCCGCTTTTGTTCTTTACCTATAAGAAAGGTTAAATTTACGTTATTATCCTATTTTTAAAAACCGTTTTGGGGGGCTAGGGGGGGGGGGGGGCCGGGCCGGAGAAATCGCTACATGGATCCGCGCCTGGTGCCTTCTCTAAATTATTGTCAGTAAATTCAATTTTTTTCAGCAAAAGTGTAACTAGCATAACCATTATCCCTGTGTCTTCCCCCTTTCTGCTTGTTTACATTTTCACTTGTTGGTCAACCACTTTCCTTGAGTCGTAACTCTTATTTGCTTGTTGAAATTTTCACTTTTGTATTTAACATTATAGTTCACAACGGTTCTGACCCATGCAAAAACGTATGACCATACATAATTACATACACGCAAGACTTTCTGAATATATCAGACAGGGTGTTGGCATGCCGCACTCACTGAAATAAACAAAGAGAATTGCAAGAATCAGAAAGATTTAATTCATTTTCAAACCAAGCTTTAATCATTGCACCATATTTGCAACATGATAACAAGAGATTGTAGAGGCATGAACTTGAACGCAAACGGAGATGTTGCTTATCATTGGTTTAATAGAACGCTTGCCTATAACGGGTGAGCTGCCATTGAAGGAAAAAACCTGTATAGGACTACAATTTATGGATTTTCTGGATATGACAAAATACCCATAGAAGTGTTTGGCCATCAAGATCGGGTTAAATACTTCCCTCCAATGTGAAAAAATGACCCTGGTTTTGGTAAAATATACTCATACATGTTCTTGCATAATTATGAAATGAAATGAAACAAAATACAAAATTCAATACCCTTCTTCTTTACGTGCCATGTCCTGAGACGTTGGCGACCATGGAATGCCACAACTCTCTGTCCCATATTCTATAAAGTAATTCATTCTCCCCGAGATCAATTTCACTTTCAGAAATCCCACTTCTTAAGCCACTTATCCACAGAATCCTCCTTCTACCCCTACTCCCACTCCACTTTAATATTCCAGTCAGTGCAAGATTTTCCGAACTATTCTTTTGAATAGCGTGACCCAAGAAGCTCAACTGTCGACCTCTCATATTATTCAGAAGCTTTTGTCTTTTTCCTGCTATGGCAATTACCTCATTATTAGAAACTCTTTCTGTCCATGAAATTCTAAGCATCCTTCTCAGGAACCATACTTTACAACTTTCCAGTTGCTTTCTTAGGTTTGACGTCAGGGTCTAAGCTTCAAATCTATATGAAAGCTTTAATCCAATAAAGTTCCCACTTAAATTACACATTGATACATGTGTTGTATATCTGATATAATTTTGTAAGTACTTTTCTCTGTCTAAAGAATTCTTTAAAAAAAAAAAAAGTATAAGGTTGATACTATGTTTGTGCTTAATTCATACATGTTGAAAAAAAGGTGATATTGCACTGACGAAATCCCAACAAATCTGATTCATATTAACATCCTGTATCTTACAGAATCCATTCATATTGTGCTATATGTATGAATGCTTTTGTTTGGCAACTATGGGACACAATTTTTCCTATCACTACCACCTATGTGAAAACATTAGATGAACCATGCAAACCGATGTAAGCTCCCAGCTGTTATCGTAGATGTTGTCCCAATCAAAAAACAAATTCTTACAAATTAACACTGGCAAAACTTATTGGAATACATAATCCCAAAATTACAACTTGCATTTTAATGAGAAACTTTAAGGGAAGCTTCAAGAGTATAATACAGATAAGATTGCTAAAGAAGAGTATGAATGTGGACAGCTAAGACCATTCTCAAGCTCTGCTCAACGAAAACTGCCGCAAAAATGCATTTCTTCAGATCAGGGAAGGGACTTTGGGCGCAAAAATTCATCAGCCTTCATTGGTCTTCATCAGCTCAAGTTTGCCAAATAACCCCCTATTATAACTATACTGATCGAAAATTAACAAGTTAATTCGCGTCTTCATCAGCTGCAGTTGCAATTAGCGGGATATTTGGTCGAGAAAATATCCAGAGAAATATTGGTCTCATTTAAAAAATATCAGGCTAATTTTTGCCTGTCTAAGCTAGTTTGTGATGAGTGTATCCATCTGGTGAAGACACAATTTCGAGCTTTGGATAATATCCCGTGTCTGAATGTAGTGGGTTATTTGGCAAACTCAAGCTGATGAAAACAGGCCTAGGGTGACCCTTAGCCGAAGTATTTCAACCACACCCAAATGAATATACTTGAAGGACAAGCTGGAGTGAAATTAGAACAAGTATTTGTGAAATATCATGCTTGAAAACAAAAAGTCTATAATTTAATGTCAACTGACAACCATGATCTTGACCATAATCAGCCCCAAAATGTAATTGGATCTTCGTCCTATAGCGATACTATCACCATGTTTGAAGCTCATACCTCAAGAAGTTCTAGACGTATTGTGATAACAAGGTAATACCTATAATCTAAAAAATTAACCTCTATGACTTTTGAGACTGTCTTCCTATAGTGATACATATTAGCATCAAGTTTGGTTCTCAAGATATCGCAATAAGGATAAAACCTGAAATTATATACCGGTAAATCATTACGTTTTTAATGGAAAAATGAAATTGAATTGAATTGATTCTAATACATTTCTTTATTTCTTGAGTGTTTACTGTAAATACACTAGCTGAACAAATATAAAAACCACTAATAAATTCCTTGTGATAATTCATTGGGAGTTTCATCATTCGTTGCATCATTGCATCCTAAACACTGATATGAATATGTTGTTAAAGCCCTGAAAATCTAATTAGTTCCTCTGATCTAATGATGTACTGGTACCCCAAAACATATAACACTCAATACAAACAATTAGTGGAGTGTTGCTTTGTTTCTCATTTTTCCTTGAAGTCAGCAGGATTTCTCATTCATTACCCAAATGAGCGTGATTTTCATCCTAAGCAATTTATAGCATAAGTTCAGTTTTTTATTGATCAACAGCATGACTTCAGTACAATGATGTAATATCAAATGTGACTAGCACTCAAAACTGTCCTCAGAGACACTTCTGGAAAAGATTCTAAGATCCTTTTAAAACATTCTTCAATGCCGACTCTAAATGACCAAACATTCACTGGGATATAGTAGTCATTTCAATGAAAATGTTTGTGATATTTACTGCTGGTTTCCATAGAGACATATTGGATGAGGCTGCCATCATGACCCATTTCCTGCCTCTTTCATTGCTGATTCTAAATGACCAAACACTCTCTGAAGGACTGTCCCATCCATGACAGTAGGAGTTACCCGTAACAACTGTTCAAGGTGCCTACTGCAATCCTGCTGCAGTGTTTGTATACTTACTCTTTCCTCTTCCCTTTCCCTGCTCTCCGAAAGTGTTGTACAAGTGGCAGAAGTTGAGGCTTCGGTTTGTTCTGGCTCTTTAAACTCTTGTGATTCATTCCTGCCACTCATTTCTACATTTTCTTCAGGTGACTCTCCAAGGTTTTTGAGACTGTCAGCCGTTACTTCTGGGTTCTGTGGTGAAGGGGGTGTGCAGGATGTGTCCATTTGCATATCGTCGACCTGCGGTTCTGATACTACCTCAACGGCTGAGGCACTGGATGTTGCCGGAGTGTCCACTGCCCCCACCCTGGTCGCCGCTGGCGCTGCCTTTTCCGATGGAAACTCTACTACTGTTGGAGTTGCCCCCATCTGTGCCAACAATTGATAGGCAATCTGATTATCTTCCAAAGTTGAGCTGTCGGCATCTTCCATTTCAACGGCGTCGTATCCGACATCCCCATCAACGCCCGAAGCATTCAGAGTGTCACCGCTCTTGAGGAGCTTTGCAATGCTACGCTTGGCTGCCACTTGTTTTGAGGCTGTCCGGGTGTGGACTTCCACCGCTCTGTTGCTGTGGGGTGTTGTCTCTGGCGACGTTGTCTGCTGCAAGATGCACTCCTTGTCCAGAGAGAAAATGGGGTTGTTGCTGTAGAGCGGGGACAGTTGCTGCCAGGAGCTCTGGTTACCAAGATGGTGGAAGACTGCCAGGAAGTGCCTGCACAGCAGCCAGTGCTGCAACCAGTCAGTACAAGTGCAGGATGGAAAGACATGCTCGTTACCCAAGCTGACTGAATGGTGCCGGCCCTTTTCGTTCAGGACGGTGAAAGTGCCATTCTCAAGTTGCATGATGTTGTCTGTGAGCAAGGCAGGGACAGGAGAACGAGCTATGACGTGGGTGATGAGGTCCAAAGGGCGATCCTTGAGGTACACCGGCAGAGCTGTATTGAGTTTCCCATAGCTGCTTGAGCATCGGATATTGCTTTGCAAATACCTGCGTATAAAGAGCAATACAAGACATGCACATTCAACAAATGGTGATATTAAGCACTGCAAATAGTAGTAGGTACTGTATATCTAAGATCAGGTTATAAATCAAAGTATTTCAGTAAAGAGCTTTACCAATATCATTTAAATCCTATCAACCTGTGTACCGATGACATATACTACAAACAGAGCCAAGAAAACTAGCAGGACAAAAACAAGAGTAAAATAAAGTCAGTTCCTGCACTCAACTGAATGAAATTGAATTGTACTAATTAGACTAGCCTGCACAACTGGAAAGTATAACAAATCCTTTTAAAGGTGACACATTTGCAAATGTGGAATGTATTAATACAAAGACAGGGTCAGTAGTTTCAAACAGCAGAAAAAGCTTTCAATGCCTAGAAACCTTTCAAAAACATGTTAAAGGGTTTAATTTACTCAGAGTAACAAATGATATTATGTTGTTAAAATTCTGAAGAGAGATTTGTGTATTTTTTTTTGTATAGCACCTTGAGTTTACGCAATTAGAAAAGTGTGCTTTATAAATATTTATTATTATTATTATCATTATTATTATAAAGAGCCTTTTTCAAAATCTAACTTTCTCATACTATCGTTAATTATCATTACCTATAAATATATTTTAGTGATTCAAACCTAATACAATATGTCACAATACATCTTCCAACAAACCTTTGGAAAAAATTTGGCACCACTTCGTCCTTGTAGTTCTGAATGACATCCAGGAGAGAGTCGACGGAGAACTCCTGGAAGTAGTTGACCTTGAGAACGTCATTGAGCTTGTCCGGACCATTCATGGCTGACAGTAGAATGCACAACTTGTCTGGCTGGAATGCCATCACCCATGACTGTAAAGATGATGAAAAAATCAGAAAAAGTTGATTAAGAGGTATCCAATCGTAAGTGCATATATTGACATCAGATTTTTTTGGACAACAGCCAGCCAGGACGGCCAGGTGGCGCACGAGCACACAAGCAACCCGCTTGTCAGACATTTTATGGGCTCAAATACGGCTGATATAGATGTAAGCCCTGTGCTTTTTGTGTCGAAATAGGGAGGTTTACCGACCGTTACAGATTCCTAACTGTTAACAAATGTACCGGGGGTAGGGTTTTTAAATTTTGAATTCCAATCATAAATATCTTGATAATCTAGCAGGCAGTTGTCCTGTAAACTCATGGGATTCCTGAAGATTTAAAAATCCTGATTCAGCATAAGCCTAAATAATTGATTTTGCTTTGGATCCGAGGCAAAGTAACTAATTCCCTGTAAGTCCTGTCTGTACTAGTTTGGCCAGGAGGGATTAGACCACTCAGCGAGGTCACGGGCAGGTGGCTATCTCATCAACTCGGCTCTCAATTAATAAAGAAAAAGAGGATCATGGGAGCCCAATGGGCACTGCTTAGGCATTGTTTTCTATATAGAGTAGCTACAAGTAGTACAGTGGGGCTTTAATGAAAGTTACACTAAAAAAACACCCACCTCTGCATCCCAGACTGTAGCAAACCAGCTCTGAAGCTTGACGGACGAGATCCACCCCTCACACCCCTGCAGGGCCTTGAGCGCCACCTCATACTGTTCCCGCGTAGGGGCACGGGCCATCTTCCTGATCAGTTCCAGGGTCTTGTCAATCAGGGACTGGTCCATGTCAGGCTCCTGCTGAGCAAACCAGTCCTTCCATAACTTCTCACGGTGGAAATCTGACACAAAAACGTCAGATCCTGGAACAAATAATAGTTTACTTTTTCATATGAACATGCAATTGAACATGCAATTGTTTGATTGTTCACTAGATACTGGAATTTTTTTAGCAAACAATTATCAGTTGAAGTATTAACAGATCATGTTAAATATCATAATGGGAATCAAGTTTCAATTATTTTCACCTTTATCAGAATTGAAACTTCTCTGTCAAAATCTATTTAAAAACACACATATAAAGACAATATACATGTAGATAAAGAGTTTTACAAACAAGAATGAAGATACATGCTGTGTAGATAAATTTCAAAGAAGATGAAAGGTGCGTACAATAGGGCAGGATTCATAATTGACAGAGCCCCAACCGGCAAGCCACGACGGGCCAATTTTTCAGCTCGCAGGTAGACATCTTTCAACCAGTGCAGCGCAGCATAACGCTAGCCGGCCATCAAAATGACCAAAGTGGTCCCAACTGTAATAATTTCAATGAAACTGATTAATTCTGATTTCAGTGTACATTTTCATATTGAATTTGGAAGTCCCAACCCACAAATGAAGATTTGGCCTGATTTTGGACGAATATCAATACAAATGGTAAACAAATTCTGGAGCAAAAGCCACCAAGGGGATAAATTGGGTCACTGCCTCAAAAGGAAGTAACTAACAGTGTTAAAATGAAGAAATAACCCACCAGGGAAGACTCTCTTAACCATCTCCATCATCTCTAGCTTATGGTCCATGACGAAGAACTCCGGTGTCCAGTCCGGATTCCACTCTTTCATCACCATAAACCCTTCTTCCACCGCTTCCGTCGTCCCCGCGTCCCCCACGAACCCCGCCACGAGCTGGAAGTCCACGTTCGTCCGCACGAAGAGGAAGACGACGTCCGTAGGGAGGGTTGCCGATCGGTAGACGATGTCCATGACGATCATGGAGCCGTAGATGCCGAGTAACCGCTGCTGTTCTCTAGTCTGGTGGCAAAAGAGCACACTCTTGTTGCCGAAGTCTGAATGAAATGAAAGACAACAAGCAAAGGTTGATGGGGGCTAGTCATTTGTCATCAATACTGTTTTTGCTTTTGTATGATTGGGGTTCTGTTTTAAACTAGATGGATGTTCGACTGTGCATAGTGGACAATGATTCCCCCTGCCATAGAGCGATTTTACAAACCAAAACAGAAGCAATTTTGGAAATTCAAGTTTGATTGTAATCCATAACAGAATCTCTGAATATCACGATTACAAGGAATGCAGGAATTGTTTTGTACCTGCACAAACATGGTTCTATTGAAGGGGGAATTTACCTTCTTGACTAGGAGGTGTTTCATAATTTCTAGCTGGCACAATCTTGCTCTCTGAGTGGTCTTCCATCTTCTTGGTGGCGAGTTCATCAAGGTTATCTGGTGGCTCTTCTGCAGCCTGATCTTTCCTCTTGTGCCTGTTTACTTTCTTCTTTGCACCATACGTCATGTTCTTGATATCCCTCGGGGAAGGGTGGTACCTCCGACGGATCGTGGGTGGTGGTGTCTGGTTGGGGAACAGCTCTTTGACAACAAACGCCCTCACAGCCTTCTGGATTTCGGGTACCTTGGTGATACCATTTCTGACGAGCTCGGAAACCTTCTCTCTTACCAAGGGGTCTACAGGTTCTCGCATGCCAGCGAACTTAACAGGAAAAAGAGAAGGGGAATGGTGCAAAGGTTATAAATACGCATTAACTTGGTGAAACAAAAAATGTAGGTTCTCATGAAGTCACATGTTCGTTAGCGAGATACACTGTGGACAAGGCAAGAAGACAGAACAAGCTATGACATGGCTTACCAACTCCCAAATTTTCAAAAAGTTTGTACAAATTTTCACAAGAAGGTAGTCTTAAAGGGATGCTAGAGGAGGATGCGCCCCTTTTCCAAAAATAATTTACCCCATGAAAAATGTTCCCATTTTCTGTTTTGCCACAATGCTTGCTGACAACAAAGCAATGAAAAATTGGACAAAAATGCGACACTAATTCAGCAAAGATCGAAGGTAAACAATATAGATTCCAAAGATCCTTCAAAAACTTTCCAAATCAGTACTCCTTACCTGTCCCTGTATATGATACTTGTGTGCATCGGCCACAGGAAACTTTGCCACATATTTATAGGTGACGTCGATGGTCTTATCTCTTTCCACAAACTGCTGGAACTCCAGGACGGTCTTCCGCTTCGTCCAGAGAGAGCACCTGAGGTCCTCCTTGAACCCAGGAAACATGGCTACCTTCTTCAGGCTGATGACAGCAGGGCAATCTAGTTTCTTGGTAGCGTGTGTTCTGAAGCGGCTTTGGACCTTCTTCTTGGCATCGTTGTTTTTCTATAAAATGGCCAAGGCAGGAATGGAAATAGTATATTAGTATAGTATATATATAGTATATCTTAAAAAGCCTTTCTGCACTAGTTTGGCCAGGAGGGTTTAGACCTACATGCGTGGTCACTGGCAGGTGTTTATCTCATCAAATCAGCTCATAATTAACATAAGAAAAAAACGGGTACCGCTTAGGCTTTGTTGGCGATATAGAGGGAGCAAGTAGATACAAGTAAGTGCAGTCCCACTTAAATCTGGGGCCAGTTGCAAGAAAAACATTCAACAATTCACCAACATCTATAGTTAATCTTATGCATACTTCTTGAACAAAAGTTTCTATGGAAAAATAAAAGCTTGCCAGACATAGCAATAGTTAATATATGCAAAGTGGATTCCATCCAGAGAGATACCATTTAATGTACAGCAGATGGATTAAATAGTAACCAGGGGGTCGTACATGTAAAAGATAAACAACATCCCAACGCTGTCTCTCGACTTGGCCGTAAGTGTTTCACAAGAATGTCTTTACCAAGACTACCGGTAGCTTTTTTTTATCGTATATGAGTTATTTTATCCTCTTAATTGAAAATTACGGTTTCGCTCATCACAAAAGCAACCTCTAGTTTCAACGCTAACCAAAAGATCACTCATGATTAAAAATTTCCAAGTAAGATTTAAGATTTGCGTCCGCACGGTCCAGAATTAGAAGATTACCTAAAAATTTAAAACCATAAGGTAAACTTTACAATTACAGATTCTTGTAGGAGCCTATCTATTGGCAGATTCGTTAGCCTTGATGGTGCACTTGTCAGAGAGAATTTAATAATGGAATTAGTAATACATGTTTTAGTATGAGCCCCAAGTAGGCTATACTCCAGCAGAACTCAGCTTATCAGACCTCCTATAGAGTGGTGAAGTGTGACGTCATCAAAAAACTATTTTTAGAATTTCTCACTTTTAACTTCATTTTCCGAAAGAGCATCAAATAAAATGTCCAAATGTCGAAAACCATTTGAATTTGTTAAGTATTGGCTGAGATATGACCATGTCAAAGAGATTTCCTATAGAAACTCAGTGTTATTTTGCTCTGGTTCATAACATTACGAACCAGAGCAAAATAACACTGAGTTCCTATAGGACATCTATTTCTTTAGATGGTCATATCTCTGCGTAATGCGTATACTTAACATATTCAATTGGTTTTCAACATTTGGACATTATTTTTGATGCTCTTTAGGAAAATGAAGTTCAAATTGAGAAATTCTAAAATTTGATTCTTATGATGTCACAGCTTTGGTACTCCTAACTTTACTTACCAATTTCTCTGCGACCTGTTGCCTGTACTTCTCCTTCTTGCCCACATTCTTATCTCTACCTTGATGGCACCCTAGCAGCAGCTGCCCGATATTGACAAATGGGATGCAGCAATCCAGCTCTGGGAATTCCCTCCAGTGAAGACACTTGCCCTTATAACCTGAGGTGAAATGAAATAAAAACGTAGTAGTGAGGTGGTCTACTGGTCAGCAGTCACTGGATAGGGGGGGGGGGGGGGAGGCTTGGGGGCAGTTGACCCACCAAATAAAATTCAAATGTGCTTTATTTCTAATTCAATAACAGTGATTTACAAATGTTGCTGAAATGACATGATTTTCCTTTTTTTTTCTCTCTCACTTATGTCCATTATGCCAGAGTCAGAACTCCTGGTGGGAGGGGGACTGAGCTGCAACAGAGATTAATACTTCAACTCAGGTTCAAGATTCAAGATATCAGAGACTGAAGATTTCCATCTAGACTCTACCCCTAGTTTTACCCTAGACCGAAAGCTTTATTTTCTGATATCGCAGTTGATATCATCAATTGTTTATTGTTGTGATCGGTTGTTAACACAGGTCAGCAGCAGGAGACACGAATGAACGAAACGAACGAACAAACAAGCGGCATAATTAGTAGGGGGCCTAGGGGCGCTGGTCCAAGAATAAGGGGACAATTCTTATTTCCAACCTGCGCGTTGGCGATACAAAGAACGGATTCAGCAATGATTTTCTTGATGCATTTCACGTTGACTTCGTACAGAGGCTTTCACGATAAAGACCTAGCCTCTATATGACGATAAATCCTCAGGAAGACTGAGAACCTATAAAAGTAGACGGTGAACTGGAGGTATTTTGGCGCTAGTGTAGTTCCGTATCCATTTTTTTTAGCAGTTTAATATCCATTCTTAGTAGGGAGGCCAATGCCCAAATCTAACTTTTTAATTACTTATTTGTTTATACTAAAACTAAGATTAAAAGAAAGCATTTACTTTCACTAAGAAAATCCACCCATCTGCCGACTCCAGAAGTTCCATCAAATAGGAGATATCCAGCTCTTTTTATCCAGCTTCCTTCTACGCCTTTCCGTACGTAAGAGCCTTGAAACAATTATATTTCATGTCGCAAAGTTACGTTCATAATTAGACAGGCCCGAGGGACAAAGTTCATGATGAAGTTTAAAACTTCGCGCGAAAGTGCAATCACTCAACAGCGGCTAGCCTTGAATCGGTCGCACACGTACACACCTTCTTCTTCTTAGTTGATCCCACCACCGACACAGGCAAGCCCTGATGCAGGCTGAAGTCCAGCCGAAAGTGCAATCACTCAACAGCGGCTAGCCTTGAATCGGTCGCACACGTACACACCTTCTTCTTCTTAGTTGATCCCACCACCGACACAGGCAAGCCCTGATGCAGGCTGAAGTCCAGCCATCAATGTGCGAACGATTACATCTTCTACTACTACGAGCCGAAGACGATGGTTCAAAAATGAAGAATAGAAATATATATAATTCATTGATATTTACCTTAGATGTGTATTCCAATAATTTGATTTCCTCATGAGTATTCCTTATTATCAACGATCGAGAAGTTACGAGGTCCAATTAACATCCATCTTGCAGCGAACACAATCATAGCGCACATCCATGCATGCAACGTACGTGTACTAATATTTCTCTCACTCTCTCTCTCTCTCTCTCTCCCTTTCGCTATACGTAACATACACACTCACTAACCATGTATCATACAACACACACCTTCAAATCATGGCTTTCATTTCAATTCTCAATTGGAGTATACATGTAGACTGCTCACGTAGACTTTTTTTTTTACTGAAATATCTTTTTTAACACTTCTCATACATTACTGCACGACACTCGTATCTAGTGCTGTGAGAATAAGGTACTAGGGTCTATAAATAAGACTACGCTTTGCGCACGATCTGACCGGAGCTCAGATTATGTCGCAATACCCTTTATTTTTGGCGCGAACAATGACGTCACTGTTTTCCTTCTCATTTTGAGATGGATGTAGCTATAGGGCTCAAACCAACGCACCCTTGACAGAAACATTGTACTCTATCTACTTTCGAATGTTCAGTTTGTAAAAATCTGTATTTAAAAAGATATAATCTTTTTTCTTTATATTTTCTAGTTGTTAGAAGTGGCAATTGTGAACATCTGAAATGTTGATCTCTATCAAAAGTTCTTTACTCAAAACGGATCCCATATTTTTAGGGTCTACCTTCTGCCAATGAGAAGATTTTAGTGAGCAAACCTCTACGCCCTCTAGGATTTTCTTAGTCGGTGGTGCGAGTGCGTCAAGGTCGTCTGCAACCACAATTATTGGATTAAAAAACGTCAAAATCTGCAAGATTGTCAACAAATGGTGAAAGACTGTTACAGATCCGTGATTATAGGTATGTTGTGAAATGTATAATTTTCTTTTCTTATTTTCTTCAATTTTTATTTTTACATCATTTTTTTTCCCTTTGCTAATTTTTTTAAGTGGGCGACGAGCGCACAAATCGTAGGTGTAGAAGCCTTACGCCCGGGCATTGGCCTCCCTATTCTTAGCAAAGGAATTATGGCCCAATTGTTTACTAATTTTAATCATAATCATATATTGCATTTTCCACCTGAATTTGGATCACATCCTACATCGGGAAACCTTCGTTTAGGGCTTCAATGTCGACGTCGTCGCTCAGTACCGTTCCTACGCTATACTCACTAGTCCTGCACCTCAAACTAGGCACATTCATGGGGCACTAGAGGGCGCTTTGCGCGCGTACGAAAATCTGAATGGCCTTGCTGCGGTGGGTCGGCAATAATCGGCCCAAAACTTGGATATGGGAGGGTGGAAGGATATATCTTTTTTATAATGTTATCTGGTCTTACCCTTAACCATCCTATGTTTAATCTATGTAGAAATAACATGCGAGTACGATAAGAGAAACATCGGGCCCATTACTGATGCAACTTTTAAAATATTAGCCTAGAAATGACCACCAAACGGAAAAAATTGACATTTTTTTCCCGACAAATCTTCATAAAATCTGATTTATAAACAAGTCACATCTAGGTACACTAACACAAATACGATTTTCTGAAAATTCAGGTATTTTTTTAAAAGTTTCTTTCAAGTATATTTCTGCGCATTGCAGCGCCAATGTTTTTCACTGCTTCAAAATCACCCTTGAAATTTTTTTTTTGCAACGAATTTGTTACGAGTTCCGCGAGTGTTCCCCGTTCCTTGCGTGTTGAAAGTTTGGTAATACATAGTTTACATTGACTCACGCACGAAAAAATGGTCGAAAACAAAATGTCAAATGAAGAAATAAACAAGCTTTTGTATAGTTATAAGAGTTCTACCGAGGTTTCTTTGTCGATTTAATTTATTATATAGTCTCAATTAGAATTCAGAATTATCTCACTGAAAAGTTAAGAAACCGACGATGTTCTCGATCGTAGTTATTTTCATTTTGCCAACAGCCGATCTAGCGTTGTTTGGGCAAAAAGCTAGGCCGCTGCCTTCCCATCGCAAACCTTTCCGAGTCCCGCTAAAATGGCGCGCTGCGGAGCTCCGAAGCTGCGTTGGTATCGCTGCAAACTCTCAGCCGGCTAGCTCCCCAAGACGGACCATTCGCGGTATGGCGAGATTGTGTGTCAGTGTGTGTGAGGTACGATTTTTGGATTCGAGAACGCACGTAATGCAACCGTGCGGCGTGCGCGTCATATTCAGCTGTCGAATGTCTACGACCAATTTTACATCTACGATTTTTAGTACAGATACTTGGTCAGTTTTCTTCTTATATCTTTGGTTTTACAACATTTAAAAATATAATTTCTTCAAATTTGCTCCTGACTCGGTTCAGACTAATTGTGTGATGTGTTTTCAAGTCAATTTTTTGAATATATTTTTTTGCATGAATTTGCCTACTCAAACTGAAGCTATCAGTACAAAATTATGCAGACTTCTTGAATACGCGATACCATAAACCATACGAGAAGTATGCATAATTTTCTAAATTTTTTAATGGCTATGCAACGCTGCTAGTACATCGCTAGATCTAGAGGAATCCGGGCTAACTCGGCCCACGGGACTACTCGGCCCAGCTGGAAAAACTGGGCCGAGATGTCCCGACCTGATTAATCGATCGAGAGATACCAATGTGTATATGTTTGTGCTCTTTGTGACTTAATAATGCCCTTTCCAACCTAAATCTTTAATGGAATTGTGTTAAATGATACTAATGAAGACAATCTATGACTTATCTTTCGGTAAAATGACAAAAAAAAATGACATTTCGGACAATTTACTCACAGCTCGCAATCCGCATTGCCGCACGTACATTAAATGTGCGTTGTTTCTACTCGGACCACTGAAATTCGAGCAGTGTTTTCATCGCAAAAATATCATTTTTATCTCGTATGAAGGTCTATTTTTTATTCCTGACACAGATTTCATTATTGAGAAGTCGAATATAGTACATTTTAGACGAGATGGTTGATGTTTGTTCACATTCTTTCGTCCTGGCCGTAAATTAGCAGACTACTGCCTAGTGCTACCGCAGCAGCTCAGCTCAGTGTGCAGCTAGCCGTACAGCGCCGCCGGCCGGGTCGGCGGGGGAATTCACTGACTCGGCGCCCGTACCGGGCCGCTGCACTGCATTGCATGATTGTACTGCCCAATTTGATCGAGTGATGTGAGTATAACTAATCAAACTAGATCTATCTATATCTACTGTATTATCATTATTCATTCCGAGTAGAATATCCAATTTGATTTAGTGAGTAAACTAGACCTAGATCTATATCTACTGTAGCTACATCATTATCATATACTAGATTAGTCATTCAGAGTAGAATATCCGATTAATGAATATAGTACATTTTAGACGAGATGGTTGATGTTTGTTCACATTCTTTCGTCCTGGCCGTAAATTAGCAGACTACTGCCTAGTGCTACCGCAGCAGCTCAGCTCAGTGTGCAGCTAGCCGTACAGCGCCGCCGGCCGGGTCGGCGGGGGAATTCACTGACTCGGCGCCCGTACCGGGCCGCTGCACTGCATTGCATGATTGTACTGCCCAATTTGATCGAGTGATGTGAGTATAACTAATCAAACTAGATCTATCTATATCTACTGTATTATCATTATTCAT